TTTAAATCCAGCCTATATTAATTTATATCAACAATTATTACGTAAATTATAATTATTGTTCTTATAACGTTAAAAACTGTTAACTGGTTTACCTTGATCAGTCGACCTACATGCCTAGTGCTGTTTTTCAGTGAACATGAAACAAAATTGCGTGAATCTTCATACACGCTCAACTGAGCGCGTATCGGATACACGCATGTGCATCCAGTGTTCGTATTTTGCACGTGCCAGAATTATAATGGTACATCTTGTAGAAGATCTCTGTTTGAACACATTGTATTTTTCATTGAACACAGTCAAATCTGTCCAGCAAATAGGAACCCTGAACATAAGGACATGCTACAGTAACGGGGAGACACGGAGAGACAATTTTATTAGTCTATTAAATGGAACTATTACTTAAAAGGGGCTTGTAAAAAAAAATCTAGAGATCGAGCTCACGCCCTAGATAGTTTTAAGTGGTTACGGGAGCCAATCACAGCTAGAATGCCTTCAATCAATTTGAGAAAAAGATTTAACTTTCAATAGTTTTATATTTCAAAGGTATTTCTCAAAGCTACGTCTTTTGTAATCGGTGGTAAAGTTAACACATTTTAACAAATAGTGTCATTGTGAGGAATTTTATTCCCCTCAAATTCGACTCTTCCTATCATGCTGCTCTTTACATGGTTTTGAACAAACTGAATCTAGAATTATATTTACTTGTTTACTATCATCGGTCATATAAATGAACAAAAGGATGGACGATCCGGCGATCTTATCAATTTGTTACGACGCTCAACCCTTTGATACAAATTTTCAAAAGGTTTCACTTCTAATATGACGCACTAACACTAAAACCATTGAGATAATTACTTCATCAAATATGAAACATTCAGTGGACAGTGATCGTTAACGAGTTGCAAGAGCTCGTTAAGGTAAAACGGGACGTTGCGCTCGCAAATGGTGCTCTTTCAAATATGACGCCAGAATTCAAACTTACTCGGCTGTTAATAGTCTTAATTGGTCGTCGGCTACACGACCTTTTTACTATGAAGGCTTTCAGTCCGACGCTCGTTAAACATAACGTCGACCCCGCCCCCGGGCGAAGCCCTAAATTCCGCGAGATTTATCGGTTGCCCCAAAAATTTAAATCTCAGTACCAACTCACGACCAACCTCTAAGAGTTTAATGTTTTGGATTTTTCTCTGGGAAGACAAATCGAGGGGACTTCAACGAAAGCGTTTCTTAAGCGGAATCTCATTTAAGAATTTATTATTTAGTACAATGAAGTCACTTAAAATCTGTACCGAAAAGTTTTTCAACGGAATAGCTTTCTGGAGGTAATGGATTCTGAAATGAAAGCTTCAGAAATTCAATTGGTTTAATCGTCAATGCGTGAATAAGAAACTTCTTTTCATGAAATATTTATAACAATGGTCCAGAAGTTTCTATTAATTTTTTTTTGTCGAATTGTTTATAGCTTTCATTGGCCTTGACAATTTCAACATTAATGTACACGATTTTACATAAATCTCTATTAAAATTTTACAGAAGTGATTCTGTTTAATCCAAACTAGTACATGATAGTAAAAAACTCGCACATATACATACATCAAATTTATTTGTTGTAAAATCGACCACAGCTGACGAAGTTAATGCCATCGTCCATCATAAGACGTGAGGCTTGAAGCGAAAATAAGAAAGCTGGTACAAAGTATTGTCATATAAACTACCACACCTTTTAAACGGTAACGGGTGACTTCTCAGGACAGGAATAGAAATAGACAAGTCAGCGATAGCTACCCACGTAGCTTCACAACTAGACGTTGTCAATGACAGCTACTAATATTTTGTAATCTATACTCTATACTAATATATATACAGTGGTTTTTACGGATGTTCCTTATAACTACTGAACCATGAATCCGATTGGCTTGAAACTTGGTATCCATGTAGAAAATATATGTACTTAATGGATAGGCTAGTATTTATATGAGTGTTGGACTCCCTACACCCGTTATGGGAACTTTAATGATGAGAATCTTTGTGAGGGTGAGAAATAATGATGTTAATTTTAAATGCCCAGCGAAGCGGACGGGAGTCAACTCGTCTGAAAACACAATAATATCGATTACTGGATTTCGGAGGCGCCATTATCGAATATAGCGATTGATTTCAACTGACATTGGTAGCTTGTGAGGTTTCGTTCACGACCTTCCAGGCTAGTACCTACTTCGTAGCACGCACACGGTTGCGTAACAGCACAAACAATGGAACCGTTAATTTTATAAAATTCCAACTGAATATTGAAACTTCTGAAAATAGCGCGCAGTCCTATATCGTTTTTATTAAAATAGTTTACTTTCAATTAAAAATTTAGACAAGCACTTTTTTGCGGTTTCGTTAGCGCAATCGGTTTCAAAAATTCCACCAAGCTTTATCACAATCTCAATGCACATCGAAAACTTCTATACAAATTGTTTTAGCTATTGTAGACAAACGTACGGACAAAGCGAAATTGCATAGGTGAATTTTTAGGATACAATCATCACCTTCACGAAGTTTTGCAAAATCCTTGATAAATGAGTGAAGATTTTATAAGTTGAGCAGACAAAAGCTCAACAAAGAATCTCTGAAGAAGAGTATATTATGAATAATGAAAATTTCATACTCTAACGCCAAATATTGAAAACATCCACTTTCTAATGGCAGTGTTCAACACTGACAGGTGAGCAATCATTCACTTATGCCATTAGCACTATCAAATACTATCAATGTATCACAATCTACCAAATCCAAGAATACAGCAACACATTTCAGGTTATACATAACGTGACCATACGTCCTGCTTTAGGCGGGATTGTCCCGCTGTCCCCAACGAGAACAAAAATTTCCCGCTTTCATTTATCTCTTGTGCATGTGTTTATTAGAAACTTACCGAATACTTACTTATCCCAAATCCTTACTGTATTACAAAATACATACTACAGTAACTCTAATTTTGCTGTAGAAAAGTAGTTTTATGTTGCGAAATTATTTATAAATATTATTTTAAGGGCAAGCTGGTGTAAGAATTAAGATGTTAGTGAGGGTAAGATACCCAAATAAATTATTTCAAGTCATTTTTAAACCATATTTTTTTATTTTGCAATTAAATATTACATCTTAGCTCGACGTATCCTATATATGTATTTATTTATATAGGAAATTCCGTAGGCTTTGACACAATAAAAAATGATTACGTTAGTTATACACGCATGACATTCAAACTCTCTTGCTGAGTTCGTGCTCACCCACCTGTAATGTTAAAGCTGAAGAGATATCTGAGGGATTAGCAATCCCATCATTGAAAAAACCGATGCCGTGCGTAGTTATACGATATCAGCTAGTCTAAACTAGAACTTAACGAGAATTGATTTCAATAGTTATAAGATGTCTCCGTAGACCGCTTTGAGAGCTGCCAATTGTGACCAGTTTAGAAAGCCACATGATCTATCGCTAACGATCACCAGGGCCGTTAACACATTACAAGTTTGGAGGGCTTAAAACGACAAAGGGAAGATCTTCCACCGAGCAGGTGATATTGCTCGGTAGACCGACGGTCGAAATGTTGTTGTTCGGAACTTGTATATATGCGCTTTATCTTGAAAATGTCGTAAGCGAGATTCAGGCATTTGTCAATTATCTTGCGTTGTATGATGGCTACCCGCCACACAAGTAAATACGGAATAAGTATTACGCGAAAAATAAACATCAAGCACATCTTGCTAATGGCTTCCCGAAGAAGCTTACTCAACAAAAACTGAACAGCGAAGGGCTCTTTATGGGAACGTTAGAGTCAATCTTCATTACAAAGGGTCAAGGGGGCGCCGTAAATAACACAGGCGCTAATTTCAGAAAGCTTCTCAAGGCTACACACGACTACTCGTAAAGAGACACGTTTTTAACGAATAACAATTTATAAATACGTTTAAAAGTGTTGCAATATTTTATTAATAATTAATATCTACGCTATGAAACAGTTTTATTCTTTAGTATTTATAACCTACAGATAAATTTAGAACATATTTTTTTTATTGCTTAGATGGGTGGACGAGCTCACAGCCCACCTGGTGTTAAGTGGTTACTGGAGCCCATAGACATCTACAACGTAAATGCGCCACCCACCTTGAGATATAAATGCTAAGGTCTCAATTAATAGTTACAACGGCTGCCCCACCCTTCAAACCGAAACGCATTTTTGCTTCACGGCAGAAATGGGCAGGGTGGTGGTACCTACCCGTGCGGACTCGTATTAAATAAACAACTTTTGACTTTTGAAGTATTGAGAACATTCTAAATTAAAATGTATTGACATGATACTTAATGGTGTTATCATTTTCAATAAATCAAACTCCTTGTGATATGTAATTGAAGTTACAATTTTGTATTAGAAACCCCCTATCCTTCTTTTCTAAAACTTTGTGCTCGGATTAAAAACCCTCAGACCCCATTGAATTATTTATCTAATGATGCGCCTACACTGGAAAATGTAGATATATGAAAATTTTTTTATCATAAAAAATTTTATAAAGAAATAAATTTGTTTCTCTGTATTTATGTTCGTCTTCGTTCTTCTATTTAAGCATTCATTCGATTATGATGAAACTTGGTACAGTTGTAGTTGACACTTCATAGAAGGTTCTAGTTGTAGTTCCATCAACGAACGATAGGGGGGGGGCACGAGTATAGTTTCAAAAAATTGGTGCTTCAAATATTTATAGCGAAACGTGACCATGTTTCGCGCCCACTGAGTTTCTCGGCGGATCTTCTCAGTGGATCGCGTTTCCAATCCGATCGTAGATTCTGCGAAGCACTGCGCTTGCTAGGGTCGGTGTTAGCAACACTCCAGTTTGAGCCCCGTGAGCTCACCTACACACGTTAGGCTGAAGCTGAAATAGATTCTCAAGGTGATAGCATAGGTAGGAAAAAAAAATGTTTCGCTAATGCGAAATAAGTTTAAGTACAACAACACTAACCTGTAGTGTTCCCGGACATTTCTATGATGCATTTGCATTCTCTGGCGATCTCGCGCGAGTTGAAGGGGCGGACCCTGACGGCCACCTTCACCGACGACATGGTGGCTGCGGCTTCTTTTAACTCGTCGATGAGTATTCTCTAGCACATCGGTACGAGACCGGTTTTATGCCTGAAACAAGATTTTTAAATTAGAAATGTTTCAATAAATGCTCAAGAGGTGTTTTTAGAAGTCTTGAATTTCGTGACTCCAAAAATATACTCTTTTAATGGTGGTAGGACGTCTTGAGAGGACGTACGGGTAGGTACCACCCCCTTGCCTATTTCTACCGTGAAGCAGTAATGCGTTTCGGTTTGAAGGGCGGGGCAACCGTTGTAACTATACTGAGACTTTACAGCTTATATCTAGTAGTAGTCTAGGGGTTCCAGTAACCACAACATCAGGTGGGCTGTGAGGTCGTCCAACTAAGCAATAAAAAATATTTTTTTTTTGTTAGAATCTGAGATGATATTGGTATAGATTCTACTTTGTCTATAGCCGCTCCTTCTCAGTCGTTTCATAGATTGATTAAAGATTAAAATCCTTTGTATTTTAACATTCAAAATTAAAACACAATCTATCTTGAACCCTTTTGCAGCATCCAGCAAAAAGACGATTAAAAATGCAGCATTTTACACATAAAAATTATACAGCGAAAACAATATTACAAAGCATAATTCGAATATCAGTTTTCTTCTATTATCCAATAGAAGAATAGAACTATTTAATTCAATTTAGATAATTCTAAATCAGCTATTTCATTTCGATTTTAAAAAATTGCTGATTTCCTGAAATCGATTTTTAAGCTTTGTATTTGTTGTTTAAACATAATCTATACTAATATATAAATCTACAGTGGTTTTTACGGATGTTCCGTTATAACTACTGAACCATGCCTCCGATATCCGAGGCTAATATTTATATCAGTGTTGGACTCCCTAATAATAATGACAATAACTAATAATGTTAATTTTAAATGCCCAGCGAAGTGGGCGAGTGCGGCTAGTTTTCCTATAAAACAGAGCCGAGGTCTTGAAGCGGCCGTCGCGTGGCACTACAGGACGTTTCGAAGGCCAACTGCGTAATTCTAAACACCTCATTGCACAGATAATAACAACTAACTACCTATCTACAGCTTTAGGGATTTGTCTCTAAATTATTCATTTACGTCACTTAATAAAGACATTACGCTCAATTCAGTTCGTAATGTTTTGTGACGAGATAAGGAATCACTTGAAACGCGAATAACGTTTTAGCTTTATGGTTTTTTAAAAGTTTTATGCTTTTATTTACTGTGATTCTGTGAAGTTGTATTTTTTTTTAACGCTACGATTAAAAATTAGAAATTTCGTATTTATCGTATTGAATTAAGCGAGCATCTTATAATAATGTAATAATAGTTTTGGATTCAAAATGTTTTAAACAAAGAAAGAACTGTTTTAGGATATTAGTATCTTTAGGATATAGAATATTTTTTTCTAACTTCATCAATTAATCTTAGCAATCCTGTCTTAAAAGTTTATTTTGATGAAAAATAAAAATATGTAAGTGATTCGCTTTGTTTGAATCAAATCAACTTTTCCTTTGTGAATTATTGTACTTTTTTTTTCGATGTTAAGTCGTTCGCCAATCTTGAACATGTAAACAAAAAAAATTAAATGATCCATCATCTCGTGGTCTTGTAATGTAACAGGGCCAATTATAACGGAACAGTATTTTTTTGTGAACAAGCCAGTTAGGTCACAGAGTAAGTACCGTTTAAGCACGTCACGCTCCGACGGAGGTAGCATTGCGCATGCGCGTCTCAGCTGATTCATTTTTATCTTTTCGAAATAATTCGTACATTTATTTTAGTTATCCCTAAAACATAATCATCAAGAAAATAATAATTTATGCACGATTACCGAATCAAAAACAACAGTATTCGATGCATGCATTAAGAGTCATTCGAGATAGATAAAAAAAATAGATTTTTGGTTCACATAGGTACATCGGATACGTAGCTGTAACAATTTTAGTTATGGAAAACATTGTTTTGTTACGTAACCAAAGTGATCCATAAGAGACAATACATTCTTTTAATTTTTATATTTAGAATAAATAAGGTATGAAATTACATTTTATTGTAGAGTCATAAGGCTATAATTTTTTTTTTTGTATGTAGTAACAACCGATAACCGATAACCAATAAAAGAGTTCTGTTGTTGAAACATTTGTCTCACAGTTGCCAGAACAAAAAAAACGACTATAAAGTGCAAATGTTAGATAAAATGTAAGCTTATAAAATCAAGTTAAAAAAAAATATAGGTACTGTTTAAATAAAATATTGATCAAACAGAACTAACTTATAATGAAAATATATTAATTATTACGGTATAAATTTTTGAAGTGAAACTTCTTTATCGGCGTTGGAAAAAAATTTACCGTCACATTTTTCGGTTACGCGTCACATTTTTCCGTTACGCGCCATCTTTTTTGTATTCATGTCTATGATAATAAAATCCTTTTGTTTAAACTTTATCTAATTTAACTTTTTTGTATTCATGTCTATGATAATAAAATCCTTTTGTTTAAACTTTATCTAATTTAACTTTATTTAACCAATTTCTAGAAAGTTGCATGTAGATCATTTTTCGAAAAATAAGGCCATAAAGAAGTTTCACTTCTTACGTGTGTACACTAGTACACGCACACATTTTTTTGATACTAAGAAATTTGATAATATTTATAATACTCATTTTAAAACACAAAACATGTAGAGATAAAGTAGTAATATTTTATTTGTATTTACTTTTTGTGATTGTTATTTCTGTCTTTTTCTGAATATTATTTTGTTTTCTGCACATAAAAAAATATTCACTATGTAAAAGGGTTAGGTGGTAAATAATGCTCTATAGGATTAGTTTCGTTGTTCTACTTATTTTTAATGTACAATACAAAGTATACTGTCAATCTATAATTAAATTTAAATTATTTGTACTTCTGGAACCTTGGAAACATTTTAAAAATCAATGTAATTGACAATTTCAATCATTTTGACACGATATTTTTTTAGCTTGACTTACATATCTGTCTATGTAAGTAACGGAATCTTTCAGTGTAATTTTCAGCAACTTTCAAGACGTCTGTTTAACTTGAAGATTTGTACACATTTTTTTGTTTTTATTTTTATTGCCTTTGTAGGCAGACGAGCATACGGCCAACCTGATGGTGAGTGGCCCCCATGGACTTCAGGAAAGCCAGGGACAGAGCTGAGCCGCTGACTATTGTTAAGCACTCTTCGCTTCTTCCTCGCTTGAAGAAGGACATGTCACGTATCAAGGCTTAATAACCTAACCAGGTTAACCAGACGAACAATAATTAGAATTATACGTGAAATCCTTTGTCTATGAAAGCATTTTTTTTTATTTGATGAGACTTTTTGACTTGGTAGGTAATTTTTTTTATTTTTAATGTGCAGTAAATAAAAAATCTAACAGAACTCAAATATATTGCTACATGTATTATTACCTACGTCAATGAAGATGGCAATAACGTAGCTGTCCAACAATACACTTCGAGGAAATCCAACAAAACAAACAAATCGACACCCACTTCACAACAAAATCAATAACTCACAAGACTGTACCGACCGGTTCTATCAAACGAACTAAAATCAAATAAAAAAAGATCCATGTTGTCCACGAGACACTGCACGAGCGGTTGCTTCCAAGAGGCCCGCAAACAAAATGGTGAATGTTTTCCTGTAAACTGTACTGGCGTGCTGTAATTGGCTGCGGTCGAGTGAGCACACGGCGCAACGAAAGCGTCGGCCGCCACAGCTGCTGCACTCCCAAAACGCTGTTACGTAACTACTGCAAGTACATCCTCCGAAAACCGTTCCAGAAGCCTGCAGGAATACCGAAGATCGAGGGGGCGGCCATGAAAAACGTGTCGCAGAGATGACTCACCGCGCGCACCAGCGCCCTCTACAACCCCCCCCCCCTCTGCATTGGAGATCGCAGATCGGTATCCGAGAAAAATACAACCAAAGCCCCTAACCTTGAGCACTGCACTAGCTTGGGTAATTGATTACAAATGACCCGCTACGGACTTACCAGAATCGCCTTGCGGTCGTGAACTATTGTGGCAATAATGAGAGGTTCTGTTTGTTGTGTCACCAGAGCTGAGTGCTCAGTCAAGTTGCAGCGTCGGCCGACATGGCGGGTCGGGTGACGAGCGCGGTGCGACTGCGGGTCGACACCGAAGTCGCCGGAGAGACCAGGGCCGGGCATGCGCAGGACTTCCCGGCCAACCTTCGATTTAACTTCGAATGCGCAAAGGAACCAACGCGCATCGGACACAGCAAATAACAAATCCACACAAACTCTATGATTCGATTCCTTATGAAGTATGAAAGACAGTACTAAGAGCATTTTTATTTTTTAGATTCCATACTAATTTGAAAAATATATCGCATTTTTATTTTATTACCCTAGAAGGCAGACGTACGTGGTCACCGACGCCCATGGGTTTCAGCAATGCCAAGAACAGAGCCAAGTCACTGCCTACCATTAAATACTCTCCACAAGCCTCTTTGAAGAAGGATAAGTCATAGCGCTCGGGAAACACCGTAGAGGGGAGCTTGTATCCAAAGCCGTACCGTACCAAAGTACGTGGCAAAAAATATCTCTGGAAATGCACTGTGGATGAACGTAGTGGCTCCAGGTAGTATGGATGAACTCTACTCCGGTGGCCTCGCTGTGCGATGGTAAAAATGAGACGATCTCAAACAATTCCTCAGAGCACTCTCCATGGAACATACGCATGATATCGAGGTTACAACATTTCATTTGAAGGCGATCATCGATCAGCCTTGCAGTAGCTTCTGCAATTTACTAAATATTAATCACTAACATGTGTATGTATTTACTACACTCATACGGTACTAAATCCTGAAAATGCTTGTTGTTATTGAAACTGACCAAACAGAGCAAAGACTGTGAAGATATTTAAGTTTTTAAACATATGTTTCTAATATCGGTTGTCCCAAATAAGTACGTGACAGATAAGAAAAAATATAATTTCAATCAAGTGTAGTATTTTTTTTTAGGACCCGTCATTCCAAATATTATGTTAAATCAGTTCAACTTATTCCTTTTAAAGGGACACTTTGCTCGAAGATTTTATGACAAATTTAAAGTTTTTTATTAATTCGTCTTTAAAATTTGCATGCAAATGATTCATTCATTTGTCATCACACTTTATTCAAGATACGTCACGCCATTAATGAAATGACACAGGTCAAAGTACTAGACTTAGTACGCACTTCTGAAAGGCTCAGCTAGTGTGGGCGGTGACGCAACTGCTGTGTATCGATTCAGACTACATGGATTGTATTTCAAATATTCTGCAGTAGAATATTGATTGGAGATTAAAAAGAACATGCCGTGAGAGATTTTCCTCGTCACATAGTTCTTTAATAGTAACTAGTATGTAGATTTTGAATTTCCCAAGACTTTTTATCTTGAAAAAATTTCTCGAAATTTCTAGAGCTTAATTCAGAGAACATGCACATAAAACGCAGGCTCTTTAGTAGTGTGCGGCTCCTGATGTCAATGAAGTGAAATGGTTTTAATAAATGCAAGACCACGTTTGATTGCCTTGCTGTTAGAAAAACACACCGATAGATAGTTAGCATAAGAGAAAAAGTACCTTGCTCGTTAGTCGGAAAAATAAGGAATATAGGGACAGACCCACTAATCTGTCCACTAATGGGCAGATTATCTCACGGCCTACTACATGTTAAAGAGATATCTGAACCTATGGACGCTACAAAAATTCCTCTTTGAGAAATGAGAACAAAATCTCAGTTGCATCCAGAACGCATTATTGTTTCACGAAATGGCCGCCTTCGCGGGTTAACGGCACGCCAACATAACTCGAGGTACGAATTAAGAAAAGAGTTTAGAAAAATAATAGGAGAATACTATTACATGAAATCTATATAGGTATGTACATAAAAATGAATTGCTGTTCGTTAGTCTCGCTAAAACTCGAGAACGGCTTGACCGATTTGGCTAATTTTGGTCTTGAATTATTTGTGGAAGTCCAGAGAAGGTTTAAAAGGTAGATAAATATGAAAATGCTCGGAATTAAATAAAAATGTCAATTTTCTTTTTCCTTTGATGTGTCCCCCGTCGGAAGGATTCCTTTTGTTTGTTTTATGTTTATTTTATACAAAAGTTTAGGTCTTTTATGTATCGATTGAAGCACTACGAAGTCTGCCGGGTCAGCTAGTGGAAATATAAAATTTGATTTCATTAAAGCAATCGGAACATCTATTCTCGTAGCCAAGTTTCAATGTCAACGCAAAATGTATTATAATGAAACGCCTCTTCATGCTCCGCTAATGGATTAAAGGGAGCCTCGTATGTAATAAAAGTAATTTACATTCTCCTATATCAAGTTGAATTGCGTGCAATATCAAAAAATATTATGTAATTTTACTTTATCTATCTCGCAAACATAATGTGGTTGTGATAAAAACAGTCCAAACCAACAGATTACAACTCTAGATGTAAGGATTGAGTTTGAAACAAAAATGGCTACAATGATAATATCTCATATGCCAGAAACTGCTCATAATAAAAAATAATTAATAATTAATGACATACCACAATTATTTCTTTAAAAATTTTTTTTCTTGATGTCGTTGTAAGGTTCGATACACTTTCATATGCCTACTTCACGACTTTGGCATGTTTCGTCAAATATTGGCTCAAATAAAAATAAAAAAACATGCACAGCTTTTTAAACCTAACCTAGTGTGGTTACATACTCAAAAAGATTACTGTCTATGAAATTTTATATATTACAGCTCTCGTAACCCCAGACATACGAACGTGAGGAAATTAAAATAGCTTTTGGCAATTATCATTTTATTAATTTCTTATTATCCTTAGAATTTAATAGAGCAATTTTATAAAATTTGCTATGTATAGGCATACAATAAATTCGAATTTTTATATGTACATAAACAGATAAAGCGGTTAAGTATCAATGTTTTTATAACGAAATAGTAATTTTATTTAAAATGTTAACAACAAAACGAAAGAGAAAATTTAATATAATGAATTTCAATCTTGAGGTGATAGCAACTTGGTCGAATTTCGATCATTGGGCGAAAATAACTTACAATTTTCAGATGGTTATGCATTGTGATTAAAAGGGTTGCACAGTCGATGTGTATGAACTGCATTTAAGGTCAGGTGGGCCTTGATATTGTTTGTCCATGGCAGCTAACAAAAAAAAAACCTTTGGCGTTATTTGGTGATTTACATTTTGTTGACATTACTAATTTTTTTTTATTGCTTAGATGGGTGGACGAGCTCACAGCCCACCTGGTGTTAAGTGGTTACTGGAGCCCTTAGACATCTACAACGTAAATACGCCACCCACCTTGAGATATAAGTTCTAAGGTCTCAAGTATAGTTACAACGGCTGCCCCGCCCCTCAAACCGAAACGCATTACTGCTTCACGGCAGAAATAGACAGGGTGGTGGTACTTACCCGCGCGGACTTACAAGAGCTACCACCAGTAAAAGGTTTGTACCTTAAGAACGTAACATCACATATGCCCTCAATACTGAGACCGCAATACAACACAACTGCGAAAAGCAAAATTTCTCATTTCGACGCAAACCGTGAACATAACTTTTAACGATAAAAATCTAAAACATACATCGTAATTATTCAAATTTGACACGATTAAGTGAAAATGAACTTAATAAACATGACGTAAAAATAGAAAACGTTTTACTGCTACTGAAAACAAATGAGTAAATAGTCAAAACAGCGAAATAAAACGTAACTCGTGAATGAGGTTAACTTTATTCGTCAATCTTAATCCAGGCACCCGCTAAGTTATCGTCACACACGCAACATATGTGTACTTAGCCTTAGCTTAGTTTGCTGTTAATAGCATAAGTAAATTAACGGGAACTAATTCGGCGTATCGCGAGACCCGGTTTAAATATATTACTTTTCATGGTACCTATATAATTCGTAGTTTAATGTCATCATCGAGTTCTGTATTTTGTTCTTGTACCTTACGAGTTTTTTACTGGCACTCTAGAGATAGAAGAACATTCTGGACGAGCAGTCCTTTTTTCATTTTTAAAGTTAGCTGAATCAATTTATCAATAAACTAGCTGACACGGCAGACTTCGTAGTGCCTCAATCGAGAAATAAAAGACCTAATCTTTTGTATACAATAAGCTTAAAACAAACAAAAATATACATCAAAGGAAAAACAAAATTGCTATTTTTATTTAATTCCGAGAATTTTCATATTTATTTACCTTTTAAACCTTCTCTGGACTTCCACAAATAATTCAAGACCAAAATTAGCCAATACGGTCCAGCCGTTCTCGAGTTTTAGCGAGACTAACGAACAGCAATTCATTTTTATATATATAGATAGATAGATAGATAGATAGAAGAGAGATAATGTTATCAAACCGTAAGCAATTTATTTTAAATGTTCGTGAATAGACAAGGTCCAAACTTTGTGTAAGTTAGCTCAAAAATCTGTTATGAGTATGAGAGCACTTTTGCAAGCTGACAAAGTATGACGACTTAACTTGTTGATGACTGTACTTTATGGATAAATAGATCCCTGAAGGATATGAAAGTACATTTTACTGGCTGTTCATATCAAGATCATATCCGACAAGAACTTCGCGAAAATTCTAGGGACGGTGTTTCGAGAACAGGATTAGGACTTCAAGGGAGTGACAAAAAGATCCCTAAGGCTCAACGTGTCGAGCTTTTCGTACGCTTAGTAATTCGAAAACACATTTAAGATATTCGTCTGCCCGTTTGTATAGGCTAATCTGTACGACCGCTGAAACAGTTTGTAATTTTCGTAAATA